GGTCATTTTGCTAGCAGCGATGCACACCTTGCTCCAAGAGAAGAGCAAACCAGTTGTACTTTTGAGAGTTTTCACAAAATACCTTCTTTTTATTTAAAATGCAGAATTAATTATAGAAGGGAAGTGCAATTAGTCTTATCAAATGATTTGACATTTCCTTCTCTACTCAGTCTCTTTCTCTTACTATGTTCTTTTATTTTGCAAAGACAGAAAACCCTGACATCTTGATTTTGAATTGACAAGTATTCTAGAATTGAGAGGTCAGACTCGCATTGCTTGGGTTGGGACACATGACCTATTTCTGTAAGGGATACATTAAATCACCAGCTAGCAAAAACATGATTGCTACCTCTATTAATTCAGTGACACAGCCAAGCATTATTCATGAGGGATTCAGATTACCCAATTATAGGCTTCCGAAGCACTTCAGATGGCACCCCCACCACCCAACCATCCCTTATACATCTGATTACATTTTATACAGATAACATTAAATTATATCCATATCCATACAGATATATAATGCTATTCTATTTTTTTCTCAGAAAGTTTTCAGATGACATCAAGTTTGCTGGTGCAGTTGACACACCTGAAGGACAGGATGCCATCCAGAGGGACGTGGACAGGCCCAAGAAGTGGGCCCATGAACACCTTAGGATGTTTAACAAGGCCAAGTGCAAGTTGCAAGGTTGGGGCAACTCCTGGTATCAAAACAGGTTGGGGGATTAACAGATTGAGAGCAGCCCTGAGGAGAAGGACTTGGTGTTGGCTGATGAGATGCTGAACATGATTTGGCAATGTGCACCTGCAGCCCAGAAAACCAATAATTTAATGGGCTGCATTAAATGAAATGCATCCAGTATGTCAAGGGAGGTGATTCTGCCCCTCTACTCCACTTTTTTGAGATCCCACCTGGAGTATTGTGTCCTTCTCTGAGGTCCTCAACATAAGAAGGACACAGACCTTTTTGTTGGAGTGAGTCTAGAGGAGTACCAGCAAGTTTATTAGAGGGATGGAGCACCTCTCCTGCAAAGTAAAGGCTGAGAGAGTTGATGTTGTTCTGCCTGAAGAGGAAAAGGCTCTGACATGACCTTATTGTGTCCTTTGAGCACCTGAAAGGGGCCTATAGGAAAGTTGGAGATGGACTTTTTACAAGAGCATATTGTGATAGGACAAGAAAGGATGGCTTCAAACTGAGAGTAGGTTTAGATTAGATATTAGGAAGAAATTCTTTTACTATGAGAATAGTGAGGCACAAGAGCAGGTTACCCAGAGACATGGTGGATGTCCCACTCCTGGAAGTGTTCAAGGCCAAGTTGGATGGAGCTTTGAGTAACCTGGTTTAGTGGAAGGTGCCCCTGCCCATATTGGCGAGGTTAAAACCAGATGATCTTTAAAGTCCCTTCCAATCCAAACCATTCTATGGTTGTATAATTCTATGACATAAATCAATTCCTTCTTTCCTTCCTTCCTTCCCATAGTTTAGAATTAGAGAGGCAAAACTATACTGACAAATGAAGAAAACTAGTTTAAGCAAGAGTTTATGTTAAAATGTAACCCTAGAGATTCAAACAGCCAAGGATTATAGTAAATGTCACAAAATCCAAGACATTTCCTCAGATCTAATGGAAAACAAACTTTCTATCCTGTTTTTTCCACTTTTATTTAAAATTCTCTGTTGTCAAGATTTTTGTCAAGCTATATACTTTGGGAACAAGATTTTAAATTACTGTCTTTTGTGCATGTTTATATCCTAATTGTAATTTACTGGGGGAAAAAAACCACAAACTGTAAACTGCTTGTAGACTGTAAGTGTGTGGAGTGCTCTTCACAAATATATTGATTGATGCTAAAATGCCTTTTTACAGCCAATGCCACTTTAGATTTTCCACAAAGCAGAGAGCATTAGTGTGATCAACCTTCAGTCAGACCCTTTCTCAGCACAACTGTATAGGCTAACGCAGCTTCATGGCTTTAGGCGCACTTATGAAACAGTAGCAACCATTTAAAAGATAATCTGTGTCCCTCCATTATACTGTCCTTTGTCTGGAGATTCCCATTCTTGTTGGAGAAGACTGTAACGTTATTTGCTCCAACTACTTAATTCAAAGGAGAGGATATAATAAAATAATATTAAGAGGTCATTTTTTAAAATAATATCTCAGACCTTTTGTCTGATGAGTTGAATTTAAAGAAATGGGCTGTAACCTTGATCCAATATACCTTAGGATAATATCTACATGATTGATAATGGATGCACTGTAGTTAGAATGTAAATTTCGGGCCCTGTTAATAAATGAATTGCTCAGCTTGCAAGTCATTGTTTAGGATTAATCCTTTTGGTGTCTGAGTTTCCTAGATTTTACTTTGCATTCTCAGTGGATGATTTTCATATGCTTGTTTTGACAGACACTGTGTCACACTCATCAGGAAGCACAGGTCTTTGCTCTTACTGTAACAACTCTTTTGATATCTTTCATGGGAGTAAAAACTGTGGGAGGAATTTCCAAATCTACTGACAGAGCAGAAGAGCTTCAGTGTGAAGAAACCCTAAATTGAATTTTACATATAAAAGTAAATACTGACATTTGTGTATATATATATTTGTATAAATACAAGTAGGATTAAAAAGAGAAAAAGAGTCCCAAAAAACCCAGTCAGATCCCTATACTTTGCTCACCTCTAAATATGAATTTAAATCCTGGTCTTTTAGGAGAGAAATTTAAACATTGAAGATGGTGGATCATGCCTTTCCCTACATTTCCTTTTTGCAGGCACAGAGGAAAAATGGACTTATTTAAATGAGAATCTAACTGTAAATGTTGTCTGTAACCTGCTAAAAAGAGAAAGGCACTAATGAATGATGTTGATGCAAATATGGAAGATACCATCAGTACATGACAATCAAAATTCTTTATAGAGGGAACATTGGATAGCAACTAGAATTGGAGTAAAAAAAATGTAATTCATTCAGTAATACAGTCTACAAGCCTTTGTGATGAACAAGAACGTCTGTTATAAAATGAAAATTTATCAACTGTTACGTGTTACACCAAGAGAGCTGTAAAAGAGTCAAAGTACTATACTACAAAGACATTTGGCACTGTATTAAGTGAATGTGATATGAGTTATGCAATAAAAGGGTGAGAATGAGCACTGTCCTGCTAAGACATGGTAGTACATAAATCAGTACTGCAGTAGAAGCACCTAAGGTCTACAGTAATGAAGAAGAGAACAGAATAGCTGTTACTAAGAGAGGTTTTAAAGAGTTTATATTGTTTTTCCTAGGGAAATGAAAGCTGAGATTCAGTTGTGATTACTGTTTCATGATCTTGTTCAACGAGGGCAATTGGAGGTGAAGAGGAAAGGAAGGAAAATATAAGAGCAGAAAAGCCATATTTAATCTAAAAGACAATGCTGAAATAACAGAGTCATAAGTCACTATGAATTAATTCATGTTGAGACTTAGAACATTAGAAAAACCTTCTAGAAAAGTAATCAAAGTAATATACCCTGAAATAATTTTTTTTCAGTTAAACCCAAGTATACCTTAAAATACATTAGTGAAGGTGAACTGTTCTCTTTTCACAAAGAAGCCATTCACCTAACTTTATGCAATATAAGTTCCCTGAATCTTCAGCACCTTCTGGAAATTTATCTAGAAAAGCTTTGAGTGGTTGCTGATTTTGAGTTTGGCAATCAACCTTATTCTCAACTTTACTGAGGTAGTTTAACATTTCCTCATTCATCTTTCTTCACTGCACAACCAGGCTCCTTTTGTAGCAAGGGACATCAGCTAAGGTGTTTGCTGAGACAAGGAGTACAGTAGTTCACTGTTAAAGGGCCTGTGACCTGGAAAATTATTATTATTTGCTTCTTTTTGTACTCACTCACTTTACTTTGCAAGGACTCAAATGTAGAAGTTTTGTGGATTTGTAGATAATATCAGTCCAGTTAAAATACTTATCTTGGCAATATATAGATTGGGAACATGTAATTGCAATTGTGATAATATAAGTGTTAAGTCCTTTCTGAGACAACACTTCTCCAAGGCAACATGCTTAGTCATAGGGGACATCTGAGCTCTAGTATCAGGGAAGAGGTTTGATGGAAACGTTATAAACTTTTTTAGAGTGATACAAATCTCAATTAGCTGCTGATAACTGATGAACACAGAGAGTTGTATGGAAACCCAGGAGATGGATCTATCTATTGATGCAGTGTCTTGTCTTAATGTCTTCATAAGTGGGAGTTAAATAGTCCCTTTAATCCATGGTTCACTGTTGTTAGTAAAGAAGTTACAATTGCTTTCTGAAGAACATTCTGATTTCTCAGTCGATAAATTGATTTGTTTTTCTCACAGAACAATTTTTTTTTCACAAGGAACTCTTTGCATTCCATTATTTCATTGAGCTACTTTTCTTTCTTTGCTTTTCTTTGCTACTTTGCTTTGCTTTGCTGCTGATTCTGAGATCTAGTTGTTGAACAAACCAGACTTACTCAATTTTCTGTGTGTCATAGCTGTGGTAGTTTTTAATGAAATCTTTTAAGTTTCATGGCATTAGGATCACTAAAAGGTCAAGAACTACCAGGAAGCTCTGCATTTCAGTGACATTTAAGGCCTTCCTAATTTTACACAGCTGTTAATTTCAAATGACTGTATTATTCTTCCTGATGAGAGGAAACCACATAGGGCTTTTTCCTGTGAGTCGCCACTCATACAGTTCTTGGCAAAGTGTTGTAGCATTTTGGCATTGCAAACTCTGGTTGGATACTTTGCAAGCAAAATTAGATTCATTTGAATTCCTTTATTATGAGAAGAAAGCAGGGAACAAAGGATTACATCTGTCCTTTTTTGGCCCCTCAGGATCCAGGACCACTTCCAAGGTTCCATAACCAAGATCCCATGGTACAATAGGCACCACACCAGCAGGACACTCAGGCAGGGATGAATTCCCTTCCTTCAATCTGCTTCTCAAAAAGGAAGAGTGGGTGCATAGCCTTTTAGTGAGCCAACAGGACTCCCAGTAGATCAAGTTTGGATGTGGCCTCTGGGATCTACTACATCCCAATAGCCTGGTAAATCAGTTTAAAACAGAATGTCTCAAAGACCTGGTCAGCTTTAAGGTGAGCGATGAGGACCTTGGAAAGTGAAAGGTAAGTTAGAAGCTTTTTGTTATGCCTAAGAGTGGGCACTAGGCAAGTCACCGAACAAAGTGCACCACAGAAACTGAAGTGCAGACCAATTTTGTATTATGTGTTGACTTCAAATATTTCTTCAAATGTTCTTTAGCAACAGCTTTGGCAAAGTAGATAAGACATTTTCTTCCTAAGTGAAGGAGACAGAAGAAGAGTGCTCAAGCATTTTAAAAAATATATTATTACTTCATCAATTTAATTTAAGGGAATGAAAGGGAGAAGAAGAGCACAGAGGTAGTGGTACGATTCTCTTTGAGTGCAGTGATAGTGGCTGTTCCCCAGATTCATTTAATGTTCTTTTGGAAAGGACATGTTCTCTGTTATGTGACCTGATCACCCAAGGTGTGACACATCTTCCAAGACAGCTCTGGGTTCACTTGATTTTAGTTGCAACAAGGTACTCACCAGACTTTCAAAATCAGAGTACATTTCACTCTGTAGCTGTTTTTATTTCAAAATAAAACCTTGAATATATGCAGATTTTACTAGAGGCAACATCATGGCCATTTAATGAAGCTGTTCTAGTGTTGTGTAAGTGACACAGGAGGTCATGAGCACAAGGTCAGCTGTTTGCTTTTGTTATGGTCATTTACTTTGGCATGTAATTTTAATGGTTTAGAGCCTGGAGGATGGCTAGCTTGAATATCAGACATGTACATATACTGAAGGAGCTCTAGGATGATGCCTGTAATATTATAGCAACGATAACATTGTTATTTTTAACAGACCAGTAACATTCTGGATTTTTCAAATTTGTTGATATCTCTCAAAAAATCAGATGTCATGTGTGCATTTAACACTAAATAGCAATCCTATGTAGGGCTTTCATCAGAGAAGGAGAACAGAATATCCAGTGTATTTATCTATTCTGCTAATTGCACAAAAGTAGCACTGTATAAATTTGAATCATTGTTCACAATTGAAGGTCTGTCACCTCTTCACTGAATCATGTCATAGAATCATACTATGCAACTAGCTAAGATGAAAAAATAAGAAAGCTTTATTCATGGAGGCTTTGGGAGAATTTAGATAGCTTGGAATGTAGTTACCCAGTTTTTATACTTTCCAAGATGTCAGAGCCAGTAGATCTGTTGTTGAATATTGTTTTGGCTAATTCTAATTTCCCGTGATAGAAAGCAGCATGGTGCAGTGGCCAAAGGGCCTCGGAGCACATTGTCCATCTAGCCTTCCTGTGTGAATACTGCCTTCCCCATTGTAAGTGTGGAATAGCTCACCTGTTTCCACCAGGCACTTGGCTCCACACCAGCACACTTGTTTTACTCCCAAGGGACAAGGCTTTCCTACTGCTACATAGTGTGTCTGAGACAAGGTGGGCAGATTGGTCCAAAGGTAACTGGGTTACCCTGCCATGGGTCTGCATCCCGGAGGAGGCCACTCGCAGGAGGAGAAACTTTGTCCTTAATATGGAGGATTGTGTTTCATGGATGAGCCGTGCCTTAAAAAATACCAAGCAATGCTATGATCTGTGCCAAAGTGAAGCCCATGTTATCATCTGTTAGTTTTCTGAGGAGGATTTGGCTGTATAAATGTCTGGTAAACACTACAGTTAATTAGATGCCTGCATCTGCACATTTAGTCAAATATGCAGGCAGATATTGATTCCAGCCACAAGACTCCTGTAAACAAAGTCATTGAAGATACATGAAGTGTTTGGGTAAAAATCCTTATATGAAAAGATTATCCATCTGAAAACTCCAAAGTTCTAAATGATCAAGAAAATCAAAAGCAAGAAGTAAATTCCACCTAGACACTTATGACAAGCCAAAATGGGTAATACAAAAGAAGAGCTTCACTCATTTTCCATCACTGCCAAGTGATGGAAGTGCAAGTTCCTTCACTATTTTTAAATATGAACTGTGTTTTTATGATCATTGTATGAGTTGGTCATGACATCATACCACTAAAGCTAGTTACTGAAACACTTTTTAAAGTAGAATTTTACTGTTTATTTTAAAATTGTGAGCAAAGGACAAAACAGCCATTTTTTTCCCCTAGAGTTTCTGTCCTGCTATTAAAGGATAATAACAAAATTAATTGCTAAACTTAGCATTATGGCTTGTCATGCATGCAGTTTTGAACATATCTAACTTCTGTTTTCACAGATTTGAGGGGTGTACAGGCCTCTGTGTGTGTGTAGCTATAGAGATTCTGTTGTGCCCATACTTGTTGCTATAGTCACAGCTGTGGTCGTCTTTTCAAATACTGACTCCTTTAGTCAGAGGGCAGAGGTAGTAAATCATATTCAAGGTCAGATATTATTTAATAAGGGGCAGAGAATGTTAGCTTTTATATTTCAAAGACTTCTGAATTATAATATATTTTATTCATTCTTATTAAAAATGTTCACTACCTTCTTTAATGCTTACAGAAAGTTTTCAATCACCAATACACTAGCCTTCCTAAACATACATTGTCTTTTTTTGAAAGCTGAAACAGTGTTGCACAAAATATTTTTGCTTGCATTAAATTTCTTTTTTAATTTGAGTTTTGTTTCAATTCTTTCTAGTACCTCATCCCTGAAAATAATGCTGAATTGCATATTACCATCTGACTTTTCTTTTCTGTTTATGTGTTGTATCCTAGACTTGAAAACTGGGTAATGAAGGTCCTATGTTTTTGTAGTAGCAGTCAAAGAACAAAAATAGAACAGTAAAAGATAATAGGGAAGCAAACAAGTAAGTAACATTTCTAGACCATGTGATGTGTTAGTAAAATAAAAGAACAGAAAATGATCTCTGCATTGTTGGGATAAGTGTGTTCCCTTCTTTATCCCAACAACTCCAAAGTATTTTTATTTGTAAGTTGAAGGGTAAGTGAGTCTAAAGCCTGGTAAGAGTGGTCTTGGACCTTTTAACTGCTTTTCTGTAATTTAAAGGCATCAAATTGAAATTTTTGGTATTAGCATCAAGCTCACTCTGTCCAGGATCAGGACTTGAGATGTGATCTGCAAGTGATCACAAAGTTGCCAGAATGGAGGACTAAGGGCAATTAATGTGTAAATTGTGCAATGAAAGTTGGGATTTTGGTCTTTGTGTTTAGTAGGTGTTTTTTTACATCAGTTTTGTGATGGTAAATCTTTGACCCTTTCAGATCACATAGCTGTTCTATATTCAGTGTATGCGTGTCCCTTTTGTGGTCCTCTCTCCTACCTGAAGCCTTTTTCCTTGCAGGCTGAAATATTAATGCAGACATAATTCTGAAATTAAAAATAAAATCAGTTCTTCTGACATTCTTTAGCTTACAATAGATATTAAAAGGATATTTCAGTGTTATCACACTAGATGTAAACAGTTATATCAAAGTGTTCAAAGTATTTCTGGCTGACTGACCTGCCCTTTTAACTTTTCTAACCTGCTTGCATAACCATGACAATGGAGGAGGCTGTTCCTGCTGTTATTGCTATTGACCTTCTGCCCACTCTCAAATTTTGCCTCATTTCTTCAATAAACGAGGACCAAAAGGAATTACTCTATAGTTCTTCATGTTGCAAGTAACATAAATTTCCCCTTCTTCAAGAAAAAAAAAGTACCACAGATGTGATTTTATTGGTTATTAAGTGGCTTCTTTTGCTGTTTTATTTGTGGCAGGTATTTATTCAGTAACATCAATAACATAGAGTTGTAGCAACTTGGCTCACTCCAAGCCTGGACATTGCAGACTGCATTCTTTAAACCTCGTAAGAATATTCACCTGAGAATTAGCCAGAATGTTTCAAAACATATTACACTTGATAATTTATAGCAAAATGTAACAACTATGTTTTTACTTGAAAATTTTTTTCATCGTAGTTCTAGAGATGAAAAAGGACAAAACTAATTAAATAATAAGGTTAATAATTAAAAAAGGCAAATCTAACCTACTAACAGAATAATACTCTAAAGACACATGACTACATTCCTGTATGTTATGCTACTTTTTTTTTTTTCCCAGTATTTCTGGTGGATTAAGGATCCTCTAAATTCTGTCACAATGAAAGGTATCAAACAGTACTGTCATAGATAAAAAGCGGCTTTTCAATGGACTGTAGGGAATTTTCTTTATCTTGCATTCAATTCCATTGATACTCTTAATCTGGCACAGTGGCTTCTCAGAAATGACTTGCCTAGGACCAGTCAATTAGTAAGACATACTTAATGTATGATTTGAGGCATGTAAAATAGAATATGCTAAGGTTGTTGGTGAGAATACTGCTGGCTTTGCCCTACACATCAGCCAAAACTGAAATATAAGAATAGGGTAAAAGTGTAATCAGGCTGGATAATATTTTTGTGCCCTAAGATCAGACAGATGAGTCTCTGATGATTAAGAATTGGGTCACAGAGAGTCAAAGCCTGTGTACAACAAATATGAGCCATTACATTTGTTTGTATGACAGGTTAATGGGCTTATTGTAATACTGCTATTTGGATGCATCAGGAGAAGGAATTTTCATTCTTCGTGTTGACTTGCATGTTTATTTGCCTTCCTGAACTATTTGTTTGAACCTTATATGTTTGAACAAGTCTTACCAAGTTCTGCAAGTGCATTGGCACAGCTCAAAACAGCCATTCTCATCCTTTTGGCCTGCAATGATTTGCAAATATTTTTCTCACTTAGTGGATAAGAAGACATGGTGAAGAAGTTCTTTGTGTGATAACTGCATACTTTAAGCTGGGTTTAGTTTGACACCAAACAACATTTGCTTATCTAGAAAGAAACTGACTCGTATTGGGAGGGAAAAAATGGTGGTAAAAATAATGAAGTTTATCTCTTTGTCCAAGTATACCCTGTTTGTACCAGTGGATGCTGGGATAGTTGCAGCTCTGTCAGCTTATTATGTCAGCGTCAGATATTTATATTTCAATAGTTGTTTGCTCAAATAGTTTGTCATAGGGTTTGTTCAAATAGTTGGTCCATACATTTAAATAATCTCTGTTTTTATTCTTTGATTTGTTTGCACCATGAAGTAGGAGAAAAATCTAGAACCATGTTGAAGTATTTCAGAACTGTAGCTAAAACTGAAATTGAATGTTTTAAGCATAAGAGACAAAGACAACTGATGCTCAGTGCCTTTCGAAAACTTGGTATCCTTCAGGATTTCTGCTCTCTTTCCACGAATAGGAGAGATCAGAGATGAAAGTGAAACAAGGAACCAGAAGAACAGCAGATCTATATGGTGAAAATGCCTACCACCAGGTTTCCAAAAGCATCACCGTGTTTTCTGACATACAGATTTTTCATGCTCTAGGACTTAATTTACTCTAAATTATCAGTTGTACAGATCTCAGTCACCTGTTCATCAAAGGAAAACAAAAAGCTTTGGCAGCTGAACAAAGAGAGAATGCACTCCCAAAGTGTCTAGAAAGGAAGAAGAAAAGCTTAAATTACTCCTAGCTTCTTATACCAAACCAGATGAGAGATTTAACAACTGACTAATAACTAAGATAATTTTAGAATTTGTGAAGCTCTTCAAGAGAGCTGGGAAGACATGATGAAGGAAAGGGTGAAAACAGGGACCACTGATCTGTGCTTTGTTAAAGGAAGGGTCAAAATGGCAAAGTCCGTTTGTGCAAGGATGGCTAAGAAGTTTGGAGAAGCAAAGCAAGAAGGAACAGAAGAAAACTCAGTGGTGCCAGGCATGTTGGCAATGAACTCTATTTTTTCTCTTAGAATTGAAAAAGTCCTTTGGTCCAATTCTTACACAGAAGATTTTAAAAAAATGCATGGCAGCACTGAAGAGATTTCATGTTGTATAGCAGCATAGGAAGAGGTCTGAAAAGTAGATGTTCCCAAGAGCCACCAGTATGTTAGCTGAATTAGGTCAGGGAAATTTCTGATGATTTTTTACATTCCACTGGAAAAGGTTGACTTTTTGATAAAGAATTTATTTAAAAGAATGTATAATTCTGGTGAGACCTTTGGTGGCAGAGCTTTCACTGCTGCAAGATACTGGAATAGTACGTGTTTTTGAGACTGGGAGCACCCAGATGGGAAATAAAAGACATGCATTTGCTTTCAAACTTTTCCCCAGCCTGAGTGGGATCCAGTGCTTTCTCTTCTGGGTTCAACCCTCTGTCTTTTACAGAAAATAACTTTGAGAGTTAATGGTTTACCCATGATTCCAAATGAAAATATTTGTTGTCTTGACTATGAAAGATTTATTTGGAGAAGGGAGATATCTGTTCAGGTCTCTATGACCACCAGAGAAGACACTGCAGACAAAAAGTCAACTCTTCAAGCTGAAAATCTCATGTACTGTCAGAAGCAAGAACTAATAGCATTTTAGAAAGAGGAGAGGGTGGGTACCATTTTACGTGAGAATGTCTGTCACTCATAGGAGTAATTTTGAAAGTCATAGTGTTTCTATTTGTCTTTATATGCTTTAATATGTATTCCAGGTAAAAACAATAAACTAAAAAAGAGATAAAACAGAAAAAGTATTAGCTGAGGCTCTTTTTCATATTGAAAGCCCACATCATACATTGTACAGACAGACAGATGATGAGTAATAATCAAACTACACCTTCCTATGCTGCCTGTATGGACTTACTTTTAACTCTTTCTAATTGATAGCAAGCAACAATGGTCACCTTTGGCTTGCTTAAAGCTCATCTTTCTGAACAGACCTGAAGTCAAATGCATTTCTATTTCTGTCGCTGTCATGGATCAGCTGCTAACAAAAGAAAGATGCAGGTGTGCTGAATAATAACCCAAGTCTTTCATTGTTCATCCCCATTTCTGAACACTTACCATCAAACCTCTTGTTCAGGACAGCACAGCCCACTTTTAAAATGCCTAAATAAGCACCAGTATCCCCTTCACAGAAAGAAAAGCAGGTGAAATACAGAGATATTTGTATTCTTGTGGTAGAAAATATTAGTGATAAAACAGAGAGTTGAAATCCTGAGATTGCTTGAACACGTTTTCAGGGCTGTTGTACCACAGACTGAGTGCTGGCTAATGGAAATTTCTCTTTCTAGCAGTACAAAGTAAAAGTATAATGTAACCATAAAGTGTTCATTGGCTAACTTTTTTTCAGGTTTCTCCACGCTTTGCTAGTTTTGCATAACAACTTTACATATTGTTCAGTATTTTCCAGCCTGAATAATTTATCTTTTTTTTTTTTTTTTTTCAGTGACTCTAATGTTAATAGCACATGGATGTTGTCAAGGGACATTTTATTCTAATGCTTCCTTTTGTTTTATTCAGTAGGAAATTAGTGCCTTGATATTGTCAGTTACAGTAATTCAGAAAAAATAACTGCAGCAAATGCTATTCTGTGGTATACAAAGCACATCAAGACAGATACATGAATACAAGAACTTTGGGTGGGTGGTCCTGACTTCAGTATTCTCAGTATTCTTTCACTTTCCTGCAGAAGTAAGATGTTTCTGCCGTCAATTCTGACATGTGTTTTATTCCCCTAGGACTGTATTTGCCCTGAAGCTCCTAGTTCAGAAAGGTAGGTGTTTTTTCCTCTTATTCACATGAAGAGACAAAACGTTTTGACCTGACATTTTCTTGTTCCAGCAAGTTTATTTTTTCAGATGTATTTTTTTGTTTGTTTGTTTTCTGTGCCTCTGTATTCCCATTTTCCAGCTGCAGGTACTTTTGTCTCCTGTTACCAAGGCAGTCTGTCCTATTGAGCACATACCCAGTTATTCTGCTGCTCTGACTGCATATAGCTTTTTTTTTGTCTTTCCCTATTTGCAAAGAGAAGGGGAGAAGGATGAAGAAATAATGGAGAGGAAGGATATTAGGCCTGTCTTTGCCCATGGGTTGTCATGGAGCTCAGATCTAGAAACTTCTGTGTACTAAGAACTGCTACCCAAGCTTACCTGGCACAGCCATTTTGCTTTGCCCATCCCACAGCAGCCCCTTCCTCCGCTCTACCTCTAGGTCACTCTGGGGCTGGAAGCATAGCAGACAGCCCATAATTGTGTTTTCACGGGTACAGATTGCCTCTTCAACAATATACATCTTCAAATAACCTACACAAAAACAGAGGCATGAAGAAGGAGGCAGAAAAGGAATATAAAGAGAGGGACAGAAGACGTACTGGAGTAGAGGGAGCAGGCTGAGATGGATCAGAGGCTGTTTACCAGCAGAAAAAAAGGCCCATAAATTAGACATGCCACACATCCACATAACTTCTAGTGATGTTTGATTATGGCTTGCTCTTACTGGAAGCTTGGGTTTGGTTATGGACATCAAAATACTGCAAACTTTTCTGAATGTCTAACCTTTCTGTTGGAGGATGTACCTGTCTCTTGTTTCTTCCAGGTATTTCCCACTTCACTGCCGTTTTCTGGACCCTACCTCCAGCTGATGACTTGTTTTCCCTAGAGGAGCCCTCCATTTTCTTTATACCAGCAAAAGTCAGCAGCTCTTGGCAACACAGCCCCGACCTGTCCACGCCCTCTGCAGTTCTGTTCAGGTGACAGATCAGCCCCTTCTTCACCGTCACAGGGGCAGTGTCTGTACCTCTTGTTGAGCATCAAATGCTTTAACTGTCTATGGACAATGTATAATATGGAAATAATTCCAGATTCTGTTTAAATTAAAAGTTGAGTTAATCAAAAGTTTTTTTATTTAACCGTGAATATAAAAATTTTGTGTCTAAATTTGCTTTAGGTATCTGAAAGGCAAATATTTAAACGATTTGTTCTTCCAGTTCTGAAGTCCAGTTCAAATTCCCACTAACCTGCATGGGAACTGTATAAGGCTATTGAGGAGGACAGAGAAGAGAAGAGAAGAGAAGAGAAGAGAAGAGAAGAGAAGAGAAGAGAGAGAAGAGAAGAGAAGAGAAGAGAAGAGAAGAGAAGAGAAGAGAAGAGAAGAGAAGAGAAGAGAAGAGAGAGAAGAGAGAAGAGAAGAGAAGAGAGAAGAGAAGAGAGAGAAGAGAGAAGAGAAGAGAGAAAGAGAAGAGAAGAGAAGAGAAGAGAAGAGAGAGAGAAGAGAAGAGAAGAGAAGAGAAGAGAAGAGAAGAGAAAAGAAGAGAAGAGAAGAGAAGAGAAGAATAAAATAATTGGTCATATGCAGACTATAAGAGATTCTGTTATCTGTGTGAAACTGTGGGAAATAGATCACTTTACTGAAGATGAAAAGCAACAAAAAAAGGCCTGTGAGAGAAAAAAAATCTACCTTGGGCAAAATCTACCCAAAATGCCATTTTCTTTTTGGTCTAGAGGGAATAAAGTCACTAAAAAGATCAAAGCATGACGGTAAAACACAAAAGCAGGTCCTGTATCAAATATGTAAAGGATCACATAAGCATAAAATTTCACCCACTAATACGAAATTAGATGTGGCAGAACTGCAGTACTATTGTGTCTGAGAGCATAGGCTACTTCTGTTTGACTGAAAATATTTTATGTACAAGCAGACAACCATCTCTTCCTTGAAAGTACTTTTCAATCACCTAGTGTGATTATATCCCGCCTTATGAACTAGAACCCTCAAGTGCTTCCAAAAGTTACTATTATTTTCTTCTGGGGAGGAAAATCACATGTTATTCAGTGACACACCTCAAGACAGACCAAGAAATTAGGAGCAGAAAAGAACTCCACTCCTTTTCTCCTAAACAGCAGCCAACATTGCCTGAATCTGAATGCAATGGCAATGACACTGAGAGGTACTTGTCCCGTTCTGAACTGTAATAGCTAAAAATAAGACAGCATAAAAGTAAGAACAAATAGTTCACTTTTACAACAGTTGTGCTTTTTTTTTTTTCTTTTCTGAGAATTCCTTTTTCTTTTCCTTTTTCTTTTCCTGTATCTGGGCTATTAGTCCACTCATACAGAAGAAACTGAATTCCAGGTATAGACAAAAAATAACTCAGTGAAGAGTACTACTAACTTTACTAATGAAGAGTTATCCTCAAAAGAGAGTTAAAGCACCTTTTTCAGTGCTGCCTTTATTGTAGGCAGATTGGGTAATGTTTACTCTATCTTCATTAGGCTGACCTGTGGATCTTTAATTGTTAAGAATAAAGGGAAATTGAAAGGATAAAATACTGTAGTCATAAGAAATAAAGTAGTTATTATGCTTTGGAGGTGAGCTATTCTTCATCAGTGCAAGAGCAATCCACTGGAATAATATTAATTCTCAATTGACACACTTAATAAATCAGTTCTAACTGTATTAAAGGTAATTTTCTGCTACAGAAAATTTGTCATTTGTTTCTGAAATAAGAAGTGATTTACACCTTGCATATTCATTGGGCAATGGGAACAGTGTGAGCTGGAGGCATTAGTAGTTCTTAAGTCCACCTCAGGGAAACAGCCTTCCTTAAGGTGCACTGGTTTCTGGGAGAAAGAAACTCTTGTGCACGTGGGCTGCAGAGGGGTCATGGTGCAATCCTGGAATATGTTATGAAACAAAACTACTCTTTGGGGTAGTTACAGGCTTTTCTAGTTACGAGGATAATGCATCATCTAGTAGACATTGTGGAGAGAAATACAGCTTTTATTAGAATGATTTTATTAAAGACATTATGTTTCATTTGGAAGCACCTGTCATTATTTATATTATTAGTTGTTGTTCCCACATGTAGAACAAAACACAGATTTTCAGGCAGAATGGCAATTTTGGCTTGCAAAAGATGACAACAGTGGAGCAAGTGTGGCCTCCCTGAAGCAGATGGCATTATGCTGTTTGTAAGCCATCAATACTGCCCATCCCCAGCGGTCAGGCAGCGTGACACATTCCTTTCAAAGGTACAAAACATTGCAATCTCTCCCCTGGCCCTCATAAGATTTAAGTAGTTGCAGATATGCTTTCCTAGACTTTATAAGCGGACACTGTCAGGGCCCCGAGGGCATTCCCTCTTCTCTAAAGACTTTGACTGCCTGGGCTCAAGGCCAACTTCAATAAAGAAGCTATCAGGCCATGAGAAGCTCAGCAGATGCCTGTCCTGCCTTTGCTCAAGAGCTGCTTTTAAGCTGAGTCTCCTGGGCTTGGTATTTGCCTGAGTTATGTGGCAGGTATGCCTGTACCTGCTCCTATGCCTCCCTGACCCCCACACTCTGACCTGGTTTTCCAGCTTGAGCTGGGAGCTGCCTTGTTCCAGCAGACTTGTCTGGCAGCCTGGGCTTTCATCAGAGCAAGATCTTCTGCATTCTCCCAGCTCTGCTTGCCTCCCTGTGGACTCTCCTTTCTTGGCATGGTGCTGCCCTGCTGTTCCTGAGGGTCCCTGACAGTCTATCAGAAAGAGAAGCAGTCTTATAGAATCATTTTCCTGAGATGGATATCAGTCCATTACAAGCTCAGCCTAAACACATGTTCATACTCTTACCAAGAGGTCTTAGTCTTTGGTCATAGAATCATAGAACCATAGAATCAGCTGGGTTGGAAAGGACCTCTGAGATCATCAAGTCCAACTCTTGATCCAACACCCCAGTGGTTACTAGATGATGGCACTCAGTGCCACATCCAGTCACATCTTAAAAACCTCCAGGGACAGAGAATCCACCACTTCCCTGGGCAGCCCATTCCAATGCCTGATTACCCTCTCTATAAAGAATTTCTTCGTAATATCTAACCTGGACCTCCCCTGGCACAGCTTAAGACTGTGCCTTCTTGTCTTACTGCTGGTTGCCTGGGAGAAGAGACCAACCCTCACCTGGCTACAACCTCCTTTCAGGTAGCTGCAGAGTGATAAGGTCACCCCTGAGCCTCCTCTTCTCCAGGCTAAACAACCCCAGCTCCCTCAGCCTCTCCTCACAGGACTTGTGCTCAAATCCCTTCACTAGCCTCGTTGCTCTTCTCTGGACCTGGTCCATCATCTCAATGTCCTTCCTGAACTGAGGGGCCCAGAACTGAACACAGCACCCCAGTACTCCACAGTACTGGTGTGGCCTTGCCAGTACTGAGTACAGGGGAAGGATCACTTCCCTGCTCCTGCTGGCCACACTGTTCCTGATCCAGGCCAGGATGCCATTTGCCTTCTTGGCCACCTGGGCACACTGCTGGCTCATGTTCAGCTTCCTGTCAATCCAAACGCCCAGGTCCCTTTCTGCCTGGCCCTCATGTTCAACCTAGTTTAAATCCACTACATTTTTTTTTTTTTGCAAAACGTTGTCCTTCTTGGATGCCTCAAAGTTGCTATGGAGACACTTTAATTTTAAAGTAGAAGTATGTTGTTTAGGAAAGCCACAGGTGCATTAGCTTTATTTCTGTGTTTCAGAGGCAGAGCTATGAGAGCATTATTGGCATAGGTAGACGGATAGCTATGATTGCTACCATCCTTGAATGACTGCTCTTATCTGTAACCCAGGTTTGTTGAGTTTCTACGTGAATAACACTTAAAGGAAGAGGATAGATAGAAAATATGTGTTCAAGGTAAGGGTATGGAATTTGGGAATATACTGTTACTTCAATAAATAATAAATTCAACAGGAAAATATGTCGCTCCCCAAATGGACAAAAGAGAATCTTTTCTTCAAGTATTTCTGAATTATT